ATACTCTCTTAGAAAGGAGTGTACCTTTTCCTTCCCCCACACCTCCTACATTCACATCCAGACCCTGTTCATGCTGCTCACTCGCACAGGAGTGTGCTTTTTCAACAATCCCACTGGTATTCCAAGTGGGTAAAAAGTGTCACCTCATTAAAAACCCTCTAGTGGTGGATGGTTTCTGTGTGTGCAATGGAGCCTAATGTCAAGGCTCATTATTAAAGGATAGAATTTTGCATGGTTTAAAAAAAAAATCAAGCTAATTTTATTTCCAGATAATCTCAGCAAAAGAGGAAGACCTAGGCTGGAATTCCCTCTACACATTGCAGATATTGTTATAGTATGTACAACAATTATTTCAATCTGGAGAAGTGAGAAGTGGTTTACAGGACTGAATTCTGTTGGTGGCATCCAGCCTCTCCTGCCAACCTTTTTCTGCCTTACATTTCTTTTTCATTCATTGAGGCTTGGTTATTTCTCTCCTCCATTGAAGAACGAAGCTGTTTCCTTCCACTATATCTGCCTTCTCACACACCAGTAGAATTCTTACAGGAAGAGGTTTCTGATAAGAAATCAATTTAGATTCCATCCACAGAAGACCAGACAAACTTCAGAGTAAATCCGGGACACTGAGTCTAACTCTATTTATAGACACTGAAGTCAGACTGAACACAAGGTCGATTTCTCTTTCAGGCTGCAACGAACCTCTCAAATCTGCTGAACTTAATGAAGTTGCAGCAACACTACAACAATAAGGATGTTGCCCATCATTCACAGTCCTGATAGCTTCTTCCAAATAATTTGCCATACATGTGTCTTCCAAATGCATTTTTTTTAACTTGCAAGGACAACAGGAGTTGTATTACCAGCCAAAGGAGGTAATGCAGATAAATCCTTATAGGTCACACTGAAAATGTAATCTGATATGTACTTCTGAAGACTGGAAGGATACAGCTTCTTTCCTTGAGAATCTTTTCTGAAGTCCTCACTCATGCACAAGGTTCAGCGTTATCAAGATTTGCTTTCACAAAGAGGGCAATATCAAGGTAAATAAATATTCTAAATCTTCTTCTTTATTCTATACCAGTGTAAAAAATCATCAAAATTGTCAGAAATTACATTGACACCTACATTAAAACCCTTCTGCATTAACAAAACGGTGGTACCAGGGCCATACAGCAAGCCAGAATAAGATCATCCACATATAATAATATCAGTAAGGCAAGGAATATGTTCCCAGTTCTTTCTTTACGTATGTTAATTCAATAGTGTCAGACACATTTGATAACTGCAGAAGGCACATATTAAATATGTGAAGCCAATTTAGTGTCTTACAATACAACTATCCTGAAGAAGGGGTTACACTTGTTTCACAGTCTTCCTTGGAAAGCTAACAAAACACATTTCATGTCAAAGTTTAAAAAAGCATACTCACTCCTATAATTATTTATAGCAAAAGTTACAAACAAGAAAGTGCTGTTAAACACCTGGCTGACTAAGCAGTGTTGGCAGATCAAACACTGCAAAAATACAGCATGTGCAGATTTTGAGTAGCACTGCTGTGCTTGGTTTCCCAAGCTAAGGGACACTGCATTTTCCTGTGTTCCCTTTAGTTATACTGAGATATAGGTAGTGAAAACCAAAAGCTTTGTGGAATTTGTTGAACCTTTTTTTGGAAGCTTAAGAAATATAAGAAATATATTTATTATGGAGAAATATATTTATTATGGAGAAAAGAGAAATCATGTTTTAAGTCTTCCACTATAAGCTAGTATGATTTTTGTTTACACTCCAGTCCTGCAGGGTAGGAGCTGAAAGACAACTGATCTCTAGTCTGAAAGACCATAGAACAAACCACTTCTACCAGTTCTTACAAATATCACTGCTGGCCTCTTTCTACCAGTGGGAAAAACGAGGTCTGAGGTGAGCTGACCTTGTCTAGGGTTACGGGGCAGAATGAAGAAGAGAATCCCACCCTCTCTGGACAGACTTTTCCAAAAGTACTTCCAATATTTTTTTTATTTCTGTGTAGTACTGAAGAAACAAGGGGCCACTCCCATAGATCTTTCAGCCACTGCTTAGGTGCACATGGGCAGTGGAAGTGTACTGGGTCAAGGAGCAGACTGTAGAAGTTTCCAATCCCATGGTACCCATCTACAGGTTCAAAAGACACCAAGGCCATAATTCTTTAATTAGTTTCTACTATTGGACATCTACTGTGTCTGTTCTACTATTGGACATCTACTGTCCCTTTCTACTAATGGACATCTACAGGATGTCCATTCAAAATACAATTTTTTTTTTTGTTGTTGTTGTTATTTAGTCTTTCTTTAAAGTTGTTGCTGGAAATGCCCAATCATATGATCCTGTTTAAGTTTTTGCCAATAGTGTCTATTGCAGCAAATGGTTGAATTGCTGTATTTTCTTGATTTCCTGAGTTGACACAGGCTAAATGTTACCTCAATTAAAGCATTTTAATTGTTGCTAACATTCAGACAGAGCTAAACCACAACTCATCTTTCTTTCCTATAGTGTACTTCGTATTTTTTTGGACATCTGTGACCACCAAGGAGCCTGGATTACAGCAGACCATAATACTCCACGAACCATGGTTATAATTAGGCGTCACATCCATTGTAATCCTATGAACGTCATCATGTGTTACCAGCATCTGTTGACAGATTTCATACCAGGCATATCACTGAAATGGCAAGTCTGGAGAGGGCAGCCCACAATAGAAACAATGGCATTTATTTTTGGTTTGATCCAAGACTGTCTAATAGAAAATATATGCTGCCAACTGCCAGGGCTCCACTGAGATCATTTTTCAATATTATATTACCAGTTAGAACAAAGATCTCTGCCCATGTACCTGCAATCTTCTCCTAATAAATAAGGAATTAAGAAAGCGCTTTCTGCCACTGTCTTAGCATGAATTAGCAAATATAGAAGCCTTAAACTTTACAAGGTTTAACCAACCCTTTATCATGCAAGTACTTTTCATGTAATAATAATTCAGACTCCTTTCCAAGACAAGGAGTAAGGATCCCCACTCCTAAATTTTATTTAAATATGTTATCATGTTAATATTAAAACTAAACCCTGGGAACTGGCAACATAAAGTAGCTTAAACTTCTCTGTGGAAGTAAACAGAGTCTGCATTAATTTATCAGTGTCGAAATCTGACTTTCTGCTGAAGTGCTGTCTGTTCCGAGAATGGAAACATAAAATTTTCAATGTAGTATAGCTACTCCCTGCTTTTCTGTAAAAGTCGAGACTTACTGTAAACATAAAAATGTCTTCCTAATCCAAGTCCTCTTTACTTTTGATCATTTGTCTGCATTGAAGGAAAACTGCATTAGAGTGCTGACTATCTAGTAATCTCTCCAATTTTTTTTGAAAACAGCATTCTCTGAAATACTGGACAATTGAATCCTAATCAGATGTAGCCACAACTCTTACAGCTGCACAATTTCAAATCACTAAAGCATTTAAGCACTAAGATAATTTCCATTCTCCTTATAAAACAGAAAAACATAGTTGACCATTTGAAGAGTGTCAAATTAAAACTAATGTCAGTGTTGATGAGTACAACTTAATTATTGGTTAGGAGTTGCAGCAGCTGGTAGATCAAGAAAAGTGAACTTCAACTTAAGAGAACTTCTCCCACTATATTCATACAGCAGGATCTGAACAGGTGCGAATCTAGGAAAATTAATAAAACCAGCTAAAACTCACAGAAAGAGGGAGACTCCAAGCTAAATTTGAGCGGAAAATACCAGCTCTACAAACTTTAATGGAAAAGCAAACCCCCTGGCCCCAACAATTCTAACAGCCCTTACTTTTATAGCTATACGTTTATAGTATAGCTTTTACAGAAGCTGTGACTGCAACAGTGAGCCAGTTCTCTCATAAGATCTTAACTGGCACCTTCTATTTAGGTTTTGAAGTGAGCTGCTCAGCTGTGCAGAATGCATATTCAAACATATTGTCCAGAGCACTGTCTTTCTCTCCCTCCCTTTTTTTTTCATTCTTGTAACCAGTAGATAACCTTTTAATCCCAGATCTGTCAGCTGTAACTTCAGCGTCACCTTTCAAATTAGAAAGTAACAAATCCTCTACAATATTTCATCTCTCTTTTCCATGTAGTGTTTAAAACAGTGTTCTGAAATTAGAAGTGCAAATATTACTAAAGTATCAAACCACTGACAAGACTGATGTGGGATCATAATTTCTGCCTACGTTCAGAAAAAGAGCATGGGCAGTACTTGGTGGCTCAATAGTTTTCTTACACCTAAAAGGCAAGAGGCATTTTCTCCACAACAGTATATTCCAATATATTTACAGACCTGTTTTTTTCCCAGACAGTGAACTGGCATGTGGGAACCTAATCATGAAATACAGTTTTCCAAATATAGCCTGGATATATTTCTAGGCAATACTTTCCTTGTCAGATCATTCAGCTGGAATGAAGAGTATATTCTACTAAGAGCTGACTTGCAAGATCGCAACTTCAAAAGTGATTTCTCAGTCTGCTCTCAGAAATATTGCAAAGTTCTGTTGCACACCAATTTTGAACCATCTCATTCATCTCCCTGTTTATAATTGCAATTTATTCTTTTTCAAAATCCACCAGGTGCACACATCAATTCAGAGTCTGCTTTCTGAAAGGAGGACCTAGGAAGTGAAGTTAAAAATTACTGAATCACCAATACATAAATCTAGAGATACAGACAGGATATTTCCAGTGCAATATAAAAAAAACTTCTGACTCTCATAAATTATTTTCATCTGACATAGGTTTCACTTAAGAATCAAAACAGCAAATGCTTTATCCTCAAAATATGGCATAGCTACTATGCATTATATACATGTTTTATACAATGTAAAATATGTTTTATTAGAACCCCTTGCTGTACAGCCCTGACAATTCCAGATATAGCATGGAAATAAGAGAGGACATCATTTCGTACAGAACCACACAGACAAACACATTATTTTCAGACCTTCCTTTGCTGTTTCTCCCATGCTGGGTCCAGGAGCAGGTCCCTGTCCCATTCTTCTTCTTGGGTCATGTACTCATCTTCTTCATAGTTATAGGTGTACTGCATGTTTGTTTCTATCTGATTCATGCTGTTCATGCTACCGGGGGATCAGCTTCAGCTGCTGAGGCTTCTACTACAATTTGAGTTTACTTGCTGATGGGTTGTAGGTAGCAGTGTCTGTTTTCTTTTCTTTCTTTTTTTTTTTTTCCTTTTTCCAAGGTGACAGGGAGTGAATATCGACGAATCTTGCTGAGAGCAGAGGCTGAAACTGTCAGGTAAGTGCTGACGAGTGGTGACCTTGCTTCCCTCTCTCCCTTGCCCTCCTTCACTGTCTCTTCCTCTCTCTTCCTCTGTGGCTGCTGCTGTCGATCCCTGCGGCTGACCCCTCAAAGAAGCCCAGGGCGGCTCATTGCTGCGGCTTATTATCCCCGCCGGGCTGTCACGTGGCGCTCCGGGCGGCGGCCCCGGTCCCAGCCCCGCTCCGGGCGGCGGGAGGCGGTGGGCGCTGATCCCGCACGGGACAGCCTGGGATGGGCTGCGAGAGAGCAAGGATGGGCAGGGGGCTCGTCTCCCGCCAGCGCTGCGGGAGCTCGTCTCCCTGTCTGTCGTGCCTTACTATTTGACACAGACTTGTCTTTTTTTTTCCCTCCTACTGACATGTATTTCTACTTCTCAAGGCCCGTCTATGATTTGCTAATGTAGTTTGGCATAGTTTATCATTAGTCTGAAGTCGGTATCTGTCCTTGAGCCACTTCACACTTTCGGATTAAGGATCACACGAGCCAGCACAGACAAGAACACTCAAGAGATGAAACAATTTCCATTGGAGATCAGGTCTGGAGTTAACCAGAAAGCATGGAAGCACAACTTTAAAAAGCAATGCATATATTTTTGTCTAGGAAACACTCTTAGTAAATCCAAAAGCAGGCACCAAGAAGCACATACAAAGGCCCGTAGAAACAGTAACTTCACATACGTGTGACAGGAACCATTTACCCATGCTTTCCATAGAGCAAAATCCAAAAGGATAGCACTGAGATCAAGCATCCTGGCAAGCATGTCCCATATCTCCTGTGCCATATCATTTCAGTTGTCCCGGTAACAGGGTTTCTTCTGGGAATTGGCAAGTTTACTATGTTCTTCATGTAGCTTGTCATTAATACCTGCACCTATCATCAGCCAAGGTCATCCTCGCTAGCAGTGGCCACACAGGATACAATTCTATCCTCACTTAGGAAAAGAAAATGCTCACCAAAGCTGAGCTTTTAAAATGACAAAGTCATATACAAGGGGAAAATGTTCAGTAAAGACAACAGTAGTTCTCTAAGCCAATGTAGATGAATATCCAGAATAATTTACAGCTTATGTCCTCCATTTCAAACTGCTAACTGAAGCTCTGCTTTCTGCCAAGTCACCTTCTAGCCCATAAGAATATAGAAGAACAATGCAATATAGAACATGCATACATGCACAGAAAATATCTACTCACTAGTTCAAAAAAACTTCATAAATACAGCACTAAGGCTGCAAATTGGAATTGCAGTACTAAGGTTGCAAATTGGAATTCAGAAAAGGATTTAAACAGTTCATGCAATAAAAGCAAGCTGAACTTCTGAAGACTGATGCACATACTGTAAGACAAACAGTCCAAAAATGAAATTCCAAATCTAAGCAGCGAAGTCAGAACCACATGCTTTTTGCCTGCTCAGTGCAAACACTCTCAAAGTTGCTACACTTCCATCTATATAATGAACTAATGTTGGTGAATGCTATGCCTAGACTTTTTTGTTCAAGTGCAGATGAGCATTCTCTTAGGATACTCTCAGACAATATCAAATTGCAATCACAAAACAAATTAGTTCACATAGATAGACATTAAGTGTATGCTGGTGAAATTTGTGTGGTTTATTTTTATAGCTTGGTAGTCACCTCTGGTTTGAAATAGTCCAATTGCAATCACCTAAATGATAATTTAAGCCTTTGAAGTCAGTAAAATCATGTCTTCTTTTTCACCATACAGAGCACAGAAGAATTTCTAAAGGAAATGCAGAAGTCAGAGAAGCCCTAGAAGTATACACATAAATCTGTAATGCTCTGACTCAGAGCTGTCCCCCATGCAAAGAGCTCTCCTGCACTAATGAAACCTGTGACCTTTCATGCACTCCCTCATTAGAGGTGAGCCACTGCAACCAGCTTTGTGCCTTTCCTCAGCACTGCCTTGTCTGGGGATCTACGTGGATGAAGTCACACGGTACCGCACCCTTCCCCACAGTACAAGTGAGCCTTACAGGTACTGACAGCTTCATGCGGGGAGGTATTAGCTAAAACCCATGTTTTACATGTTGACCTTCACCCTCTAACACAGGCCAGGGTGCCTGTGCCATGAAATAAAAACTGAGGTGGGATGGTGACAAAGAATATCCAATCACACTGTGGATTAGGACTAGAGTCAGACCCATGCCTAGATTTCTAGGAATCAAAAGAAAGTCTAGCCAAATTTTCCGGAATTCTAAAAGAAGTTTGCCAAGTTTTTTCATAAAATAACTGGATTTACTCAAAGCATACCTAGCCACTGCTGCAAAGGTACTGTTCATTTTTTCATGTTTACTTGGTACATATGTAAACAGTACTTTGATAAAAAAGAAAATGAAACAAAAATGTTTAATTGTTCCAAGCAAACTAGAACCAAATTGTTCCAAGCTAGAATCATAGTCCCACTCAGCTAGTCTGAGAGATTAAAAAAAGTAAGTATTTCAAGATCCACTTTGGCTAGGTAATATTTGTCCATTTTGGATCAAAAAATATAGGGGACTTCAACTTTTTTGGTGTGCATTTTCAGAAAGTTGTGCTTTTTGTCTATAAAACAGAAAGCTAAATGGAATAGCCCCATTTAAAAAAAAAAAACAACAAAACAAAACCACCTGCCTATCTTGATGGAATCTGATGTGTTTTAGGTTCTCTGAATAACTGCTTACTGCCTCTTAATCAGAGAGCATGAGTAGGCAGAGGAGATATTTATAGATGGAGCTTTAGGAGGAGTATCTGGTATTTTGTTTACTACTTTAATTTAATTTTATGAACTAACTGTGCAGATGGTAATGAGAAGCATATGAATGGAGGTCCGTAGGGGAAGAAGAGCCAAAATGGAACTCTGACGCCAAACTTGAAGTGGAAAGAGAGATGCCTCTTTCAGCTCAACAAGAGAAAAGCAAAGCTGTGCCTAGCACAGTAGTTTGAATAAAGCAGTTTGCTTCAACCAGCTTATTTCCACATCAGAGGTAGGTTAGAACTATCTCCACTAAAGCTGGCAGAGTTGCACTGCTACAAAGTATGTGTGCCTAAGAAGAAAGGAAATAAAATCAAAACAGAGATTAGCAACCTGAGCAGGAAAGAAAGGACAAAAGTCAGAAACAGAGAAAAAGAAAGAAACACAATGAACTACATGGATAGGTAGTTTTAAGTTGACACGGCAAGATACCAGAGAGTCAGCAAGTACAGTTTACAATGTGGCAAGACAAAAAGAATACTCATGATTGCCAAATGAATTGGAAGAAATAAGGTTGCACAGGGAGACAAGAAATGGAGATGGCAGAGCTGAATTGTCAACTATTTTTATCTTTTATTTGGCAAAAGGTGTGCAGTTGTAGTTCATGCTAATATAAATGATAGCAAGGGCCTAACCAGTAGAATGATGCCTTTAACCCAGGAGAACACTGTGGCAACCAGATATCACTTCCCATGCACGAGAAGTACCAAACAGGCTTTCCTAGCAGGAGCAGCAGGTCTGTGAGGTTACACAAATGCCTCCTGGCATGCTTTGCATGAAGATACTTGAGAATCAAAGGGCTTTTCTAACTAAAGAAAGTCAATCTTTATCATTCTTTTTAATGAAATGGAAAGTGTTTCACACATTTTTTATTTAACATTCATTTACTTGTCAAAAGCCATCATACCATTCTCTCAAGAACTCACTCTGCATTTTTTACTGTTCCTCAGACTTTCAATCCTTCAACATGCTTCTTATTCTTCCCTCTTACAAAATCTTAGAATGAGAATAAAACCACAACTTGTTAATAAAACAAAAATGCTGAACACCACATTTCACCAGATCATTCCTCTATTCGAACTTAGTGAGATATAGACTAAGAAATAAGCCAGATTTCTCTACTTAAATAATTGCCCATGAAACAATCAACTGATGTAGAAATAATCACCATTAGTTTTCAGTTTTAACACTTCTGTATACGAACGCAATAGTTCATATCTGCCAAAACTGTCTCAGAAAGGCCACAGAAAGATAAAGAACCTTATGAGAGCTCAGTCAGTCATTGAGTCTTTAAGTAATCATAGCCTTTTTGTGTGTTTCTTTGTGAAAAAGAACAATAGAATGGTTTCTCAATAAAGAAGTCAATGAAAGGTAATAGAACAGAAATTCAAACTAATTATTCTCTTGTGTAAACCTCTAACAGGATCTTAAAAAAGGGATCAAAAAGCCCTTTAACTTTCACAGCATGTCATAACTGTCACTTCTACATAAAATGTATTTCTGCTTGTAGCAAATATCCACTAGTTTAAAGCTTAACCAACAAGAATATGAATTATTTAAATAAGATAATGATAATTTAAATTGGTTCAAAATGTTGGATTCTGTTAAAAATTATGCATATATTTCCTGAACAAAGCGAAGCAGAAAGGTGAGATGTGTTAAAAAATGTATTTATCATTTATCATTTATTGGATTTCAAGAGACATTGCCTTTTTTTTTTAATACAATAAATATAACCTACCTTCTTCAATTTAAGAAACACACTATACTGTAAGTTCATAAAAATAAAAAAGGCAATTAAATTCATTAGGTAAGGGCAGTATGAATAAACTTTAAACTTGCTTCATATTCCTACAGAACACCTACAGAGAAAACAGAAAGAGAGCAAAGAGGAGAAGCATAGATCTGGGAACCAAATTTCTTTGTCTGAGCTAAGGAAAAGCACTGTGGGCACTAAGCATATTAGCCCTCCCACATTTATGCACCAAGAGGCACAAACTTTGACTCTGAAAATTCTTCACGCTACTCATACATGGTGATATTAACTATACAGTAGCTAATTACTTTTTTAAAAGTATATTATTTCAAATTACAGGTTTGGAAATAAAAATTAAGAAAGAGCTGAAAAAATGCAGTGCTGGCTTCATAGTAGCAACTGTCATTGTCAGGAGATCCCGAAGTGTTTCATCAGCTATATATAGACACGACTTACTCTGTCCCTGAAATTCAGCCATGGATGAAATGTAGCAAGAAACATTTATGGGACAGGCAAATACTACCAAAGCATAGCTTGGGCTTCAGGAGTATGGAGA